TCTTGTGGAAGTCTGCAGGTTACCATGAGCTGACTGTCAGCTTTGATCTAGGGGCGYTTTGTGGTCACTTATGACTTCTGCTCTTTAAGCACTGTGGTACACCTTAAGAATAAAGTTTTTGAGCTGTCATAATTGCAGATTGCATCCTCGAGTAACAATGAAGAGGCAGAAATGCCTAACCTGCCTTGCTGATGTTTATTCAGCAAGTAGTGCAGGTTCTTTTGGGCATGGGAAAGCTCCTTCATGCCTTTACTTCTGTAGTCTGGGTATCGGGCATGGATGGCTTTGGCTTTTTGCTACCTGGCAGACTATAACCAAAGGACAGGAAATGCAAAATACGTCCTCATGAGCCAGCTTGCTAATATCATATGGAAGAGAAGACTGGCAGAGACCCAAACAGGTGRTAAATCCAGGTTTTAACAACTCCGTCTTGTTTATCTTGGTTGTTTCTGGCTGGGTTGGCAGCTTTTCAGAGAGCTAGAACAATCTATGTGCTTTTTGTAGCATCTAGTACACTACAATTTAAAGATAATAAAAATTATTTAGTGCTGTTGCATTGCAGATGATGACCCAAGTCTGCTTTCCCTCTTAYGTTTTTTGATCAGTCTTGCTTTTCTGAGTAATGAGAGAAGTGACATTTGCCTCTTGGAGAAGAGGAAGACGGATGCATTTAGGAAGRGGAAAAACAAACGTCGTAAATAAGCGTGTGTTGTCTCTGACACATCATGGGATGGTGATCAAACTGCAGTTCTTAGGATTGAGGTGGATTTGTATTTCTACAAATGTTACTCTTTCCTTTGCCCTTTCCTTTGATATTAATTGCATCAGAGCAATTAGATCACTGCTTGGTAGAAATATTGAGAACCAGCTGATTGGATGAGGTTCCCCTGTTTGGGGAACCTGGACAAGTGACTAAAGAAGGACTATATTTTTGTTTTTCCAGGAAGTTTAGATTTTTTTTTGTAAAGCAGTTTATGTGCATTCAAAATAAAAGCAATATTAAATTCTGTTCTCTCTAGAACTTGTAGAGGGGTTTTGTTCAGAGCTGACTTTGGCAGTTGTAAAAAGCAAGGCTGTATAAATTATCATAAAGTGTAACAGTAAAAATAGAAGAGCCTTTTTCCTTGCATTATCTTTGCCTTCCAGCTGCTACATGACGTGTGATAAGGAGTGTGTTGTGTTTAATTTCATAGTAGTCCTTGCTGTAAGGAATTGCAGTAAGAGAAGTTTCAGGTATTTTGGTTAAACTTATTTGCATTTTGCCTTCTCCCTCTGGCACAAAAGCCTGGTCTGTCCTTCAGAGTCTCCAGTGTTCATTGTCTGCACATTTCATTTCCGATATCTGTGTGTGTTGCTGAATTCCTCAAGACTTTCTGCTGTTTTAGTTGAACAGTTTGACTCATGGGGAGTATAAGTCAACCATCTCTGTCATCTCCTGAGCACAGCACATACCACATGAAAGAAATACAGCAAGATCAGAACTTAATTCCCTAAGATTTAGTTTGTTATAAAACCTTTCTTCCAGTTTCAGAACTGATGGATGTGTGCATAATAACGTAGTGTAGTTGAGATTGTTTCAGTTTTCTGTATAAATCCCTTTATAGAGGAAGAAATGCTACTGAACAGGGAAATGTTTTCCTGTTTGTCTTTGAAACTGCACCTCTAATACTGTTGAGAACTGTTGCGAGGAAGGATAGTTTATGAAGTAGAGCAGGTGGAAGCAGGGAAATTCGCTCTGAAACTCGTATGGGAAATACTGGGCTTGTAGAGAGTTAGGAACCCACCCCATGGTGGATGATGCTGTGCTGTGAATACTGCTTAGGTAGGCACTTGAATCCTACTTTCGTTTATCTTTTCTAGTACAATCCGTTTTATATAATCCCCATTAGATTTATGCAGTAATCTCTGTGTGTACCCTGACTATCTCACTAGTGCGCTTGGAAATTCAGTAGGGAAGCTTCTAAGTAGGGATTTGACCTTGAACAAATGTTTAATCCCAATTGTTTGTGTTTATGCTGTTTAACCTACTACCCGCAGTCATGAAACTTTAGAAACATGCCTTTTATGTGCAGTTGTACTAGACTGCATCCTTTAAAGTATATGGAATCATTTCCAAAATAATGATTGCAAAGTCAGATGTTCAAAAATTAGGAAATGACCATTTCCTCTCTTAATTTCTCAGGCTTAGAAACAAACGGGAGTTGCTTCTGCTCCTTCAAAGYAGTAATAAACTTTTATCTTTTGTAATATGGTACAAATTTGCCTTCCTTTTGCTAGCCAGGTCTGTTGAAGGACGTGCAGTGAGTGACAGTGGAGCCCCAAGCGCTCCTCAGGGAACGTGGGCTCTTTGGTCAATACTACTGTGATGGCTGCAAGATCTGCTGGGAGTGCAGTGGTCACCTTGCCAATGTTTAATTATTCTCAGTTTGTCTTTTGCAACTTGCTTTTCAGCAGGAGCTTGGGAGAGGATTGAAGCCTTCCGCCTTCAAGGCACTACACTGAAAATGAAAAATTTAGATTTTCTTATGTAGCTTGTGAAAATCATGTAGCCTTTTTGCTATATTCCTCTGTTAACCTCTTGACGATTTATAGGTTCACTCAGCTAAGTAAGCTGTTTAACAGTAATTGAGAGCAGATCTGTCAGTGTTTTAGTAAACTTCTACAATATTATGTTCCTCTTGCGCTTCAGGCAGAAGGGATTTCAAGGTCGAAGGATATAAACTATTAATAACCTATTACTTACGGTGTCACTTAGGTGTATTTTTGAGGAACAGTAATTACTTTCTTTCCATTAGGCATTGAAGCTTCAGTTGTCTACCCCTGTACGCTAAGAATATTCAACAAAAGAAAACATTCCCATTTAAACATCTGAATTTCAACTTTTATAAAAATGCAAGAACAATATGTTATTTTCTTCTTGTAAAGCCAAGCAGGAGAGGATGGTATTGCACAGGAGAGGTTCCAAAATGAAGTGGTCAGCTGCTAGACCTCTTTGACATGGTATCTCTATGATCTTTTATGAGTATAATTTATTTAAAGGAAATAAAATGCTGGCTGGAGACAGTGGTGGTTTCAGTGTCTTGATTGTCTACTACTTGGTAGGACACAGGAACAGAATAGCCTGGAGCCGTGTGGGTTTGCCGGTGGGTTTTGCGCTTCTTGCTGTTGGGAGACTTGTCCTGGATCGTGCTTCTACTATCAATCCTACATTGTCGTGGTTTAATGCAGGCTTCTCGCGGCCTTTGCCTGGGGAAGAGCATTGCCTTGCCAAGATAATCGCCTTCACTGACTTTGAGATTGCCGTCAGCTTTTGTCCCCTCTACACCTTAGACTCGAGACTTTTTTCCAGATGCCACGATTCTGGTTAACTGCCCAAAATGCTTACCTTTCTATCATTAGAGGGGCCTTTTATAACTGTCTTCATAGCAATTAATTATTATTTGCAGTAGCTCGTAGTGTACTGAGACCTCTTGAAGCCCTTGTCTTTTTCCATTACATTTTCTGTTTATGAAGCTGTCACTGTTCCTACGGCAAGTGTGTTAGTGTGTTTGTCTAGATCTGCAATTGCCTTCTTCGGAGGCTTAAATAGAGTCTTGAGTGCTGGCGTGACACTATATTATGAGTGAATCTGCAAAGAACTGCCTTAAAATTGAAGCTTATTTATTTAAGTCAGGTCTTGGAAGCGTCAGCACAKGTCGGTTAGCCCTACTGAGTGCAAAATACCTAATTCCAAAATGCCTATTGTTTTCTCTGTTTGTAATGTCATATAACTGCAGTTTCTGGAATGAGCTGGTCCCGTGTTAACGTGAAAGACATGGGGATGAATTGACTTTCCTGCCTTGCAAAAGAGTAAATAATTTGTAAGCTTGTATCATGAATGGTAGGACCAGAGCAAAAGAAATTAGTGCAAGGAATACAAAACATGTGTATATATATGGCATTGCTGCTGTTTGTGAAGGTTTAAAATATTTTTTCTTTTTGATTTTTTTTTTTTTTTTTGCCTTGGGCTGATGAGCTGTCCTTTTGATTTTTTTTTTTCCTTTGTAACAATGATTTTTATCTCTGTGAGCTGTGTGGCTAATATTGCAACAAAGCAGTAAAATCCCGGTTAATGAGATACATAGAGCCCACATGGTTTAGAAGTACCAGAATTTCAGAAAGCAGGAATAAGCTTTGGGGGTAAGTGATTTTCTTCATTATTGAGTATGTCAAAGACGTTGTGGAGCCATCACTGCTAAGTTGAAAAAGGGGCCAATATTTTGCCATTGAGCAAATACTCCAGTTTGTCCTCTTAGAGGAAAGGTCGTGTGGAACTCCTGTGGAAAATTAATTGCTTTATATGCCGTGCAAAGCATGCTACAGTTGATGCCTAGCTGTATGCCTGGTAAATATGCATATGAACGAATATATTTTATATCCTGACTAGCTAAAACTTGTAGTCAGCCTTGCTGTAATTTCCAATGGTCCCAGTGCTTCCCTGTCAAGAGCAGTGGCTTTGAACAGCTGTACTGTCTGTGGGCCAAGAATGGTAGCTGCCGAGGTAGGAGAAACTGAAAATGGCAAAGCCCCTAAGCCTGAGAATGGTAATTCATTAGGAAAATAAGAACAAAAGAAGAATATCTGCAAAGAATTCAGTGGCCAACTGGGAAGGAGAACAAAGTGAGAGGAAAGGGAGAACTTTGGGACTTCCACGAGACAAAAGAAAAGAAATCTGATGGGAGTGTGACTTGGGGAAGGGAAAGGTTCATTGTCAGTTAGCATTTTTAATAGTTGAATGGAATTTATTTACACCTGCTCCCCACCAGTTTTCCTTTCATTTTCTTCTGGTCAGCTGTCATTAAGGAAAAAACAAAAACAAAAAACCCCACAAAACTCTCTGCCTTGTTCCCATATTATGCATGTTTACATAAGCTTGATGATTATTCTGTGAATGTGAAGTGCATGCTCTTCATTGCTCCATTTTCACGTTTTTTCCACCTTTCTCTATTATGTAGATTCCACCAATATACAAACAAACATCATGGCAGAGCCTGGGGAGAGGTTATTCAAGACCACTATTAGATGCTTCAGAGGTAGGTAAAACTTATTTTTCTACTTTCTACTTGCAGATGCGAGGAAACTCAAGCCCTTGGTGCATATTTCAGTTGCATTACTTTTTTTTTAAGAAAAAATCTCTGTGGCTTCTAAATGCATCAAGTTAAATTGCAATTTATATCTCAGCCCCCAGAAGAAGAGCAAACTTGGCTTAAAACCTTCAGACTGTTGCACTTGAGAGAAATCTTTCAGATTATCTAACAACCAGTGCTGTCATAGTAACTTAAAAAGCAAAGCTCTTTGGATGTAACTTCAGCTTGTTGACCCTTAGATTCATGTGGTCTGACACACAAAAAAAAAAATTATGAAAAGCTGTGAGCTTTCCTTGAGTATGTAGGCTTGTCTGTCCTTTATTCCTGTTTTAAGTTTATAGTTGTCCTTTTAACTTAAATATTTAAGACCTTTCTAGTCTTTACCTGCTAGCTGTTTGCACTAAGCTATTTACTGCTAGATTTATGATCTGTTTGTTGGTATTATTTCCTTAAGATGAGGCAAATTTGTAGAGAGATGTAGTATCCTTTATTAAACCAAGCTGATACAATTGAGGRGGAGGGATGGAAAACAGATATGTARTAGTTCCTTCTTCTTTGGCCTTTAAATGCCTGTTTCCTGAGGTTCTTGCAAATTAACTTTTCTTTTTCACACAGCTGCTCCAGAGGTGGCAACTGATAGAAAAGCGAATGTGTTGGCATGGCCATGCAGGTGGAGGACTTCACACAGATCCAAAGGAAGGGGTAAAAGCAATTGCTTAATTAGTACTGCTTTTTGAATTCAAACTGTGTTCACCTTTGTATTTAAAAAAAAGCAAAAAAAAAAAAAAAAAGCTGAACAGTCCAAATTTTTGAGAAACTATTGGTAGATACTATGTGAGCACTGCAGATCAGAAGATAGTGTTTGTCAGTGTTAGCTACTAGCTCTTAAATCACCAAATGTTTGTGATAACTCTTTTAAAGCACTTCAGTTTTTATTAAAAATAGAGCCCCACTTTCCCATTTCCTTTGAAATCTGCTTGCASTGTATTAGCTTTTTTTCCCATGCTAGGTAAGTTCCATTGTAAGTTAATGTGCTTATTCTTGTTTGTGGCTGATATTTCTGTGTGACTTTACATTCATGTCGGCAGGGATTAGTTTGTGGATACAAGCCAGTGCATCAGGGTTGCCATTGGAGTTGATGTGGGGGCAGGGGGAGTAATTAACTGTTTACTGTGCATGTCTAATCAATTTGATTTAATGTTAATGTGTCTGATATTTTTACTGTATTTATAATCAGGAAGCATCTATATTAAAAAGATGATGGTAGGTGTGTAGGGAGATGCAGTATCTTTTATTAGACCACATGATTAGGTTATAAAAATAGGCAGGCTTTTAGTTAAAATAGCACTGTAAAATTTTGCATTATTAAAATTGCAAAATCAAAATACTCAAGTTAGGAAGTGAGAAAATTAGGTTTGCATATGCAAACTTCTGATGCTTTGTGAGCTGCATTTTTCCACARTCTCAATCCTCAAACAGTGGTACCTACATGTTCCTCTTCGGTTTTGGCTTGAGGGCAGTTCCTTCAGTGAATTTAAACTTGTTTGTGCTATAGTCTGAACTCGGGAGGGAGCTACCTGAAATTAGATGCTTCCGTAGTAAGGGACAGATTGGTTAGATAGGTTACATGCACTGGGTTTGTTGTAGTAAGCAGCTCTGATACACTTTGCATAAGGCCCAACAGGGGAGGCAGAGAATTGAACWCTCCAGCAGTTAGTGCTGCTGGCCCTATGGATCATATTAACTTTAGATGATTTATACCTTTCTGGCAACATTTACAGGTGCTTTCAAATATCTTCTAGGCAAAACACTGAAAACTAGCAGGTTAGTCTCCCTAATTGTAATATGAATTGTATTTCCTCTGTGGAGAGCAGCATTATCTGTCTTTCAACTCCAGTTGCCTTGTGTCAGTGGGGATTTTCTTTCTTTTTCTTTTGTATTTTTCCTTTCTTTTCCTACTCTAATTTGTRTTCTTCTGGGCATATTGATCAGCTGCATATTTTCTATTGGCTGTCAGAACTTCATCTCTATAGAAAGGAGATTTTGCATACACACAAGATGAGCCCATCTGCGTGTGATGCTATTGCATACTTGTTTCACAGACAAATGACCCAGCTTCAAAAACACCACAAGGCTTTTTATGCAGAGCTTTTTCAACTGAACCCCATGAAACGTGAAGGGCCACTTTGAGGGCAAACCTGTTAAATCCTTATCTTACGTATCATCTCTTCAGTGATGCTTCTGAAAGGTCTACAGCTTAGCATCATTTGAAACAGTTTTTTGTCWGATCAGAAAGGAAAAACAAGCTTCTGTTTATCAAAATATATTGATAAGGAGAAAGGTGAGTGTATTTAAAAAAAATTGTCAGGAATGTGTCATCTGGAATTTTCTTGTCACCTGATATTTTTGTTGGCCTGCGTGTTGTGCTCATGCAACGTTTGTAGCTATTCCTCTTTAAGCCAGTCCTCTGGCTTTTTTATTCCAATAAAATTATTGCAATTGTGTWAACTGTAATGCAGTTAATACAGGAAATTGTTAATTATGGATATTGCCTAGCTAAACAAATATTGGCTGTTCCACATTGTCCAGGAGAAAGCAGTAAGAATTAGATGTAGAAGTGAAATGCATGAAGAGAGATAAAAACAGCAACAGCAGGTGCAAAAGCCAAGAGTTTTGGGGCAAAAATGAAGGGAAGGAAATCTGATGCTATGAGTGCAGTCCTTACACTCGTAATAGAGCTCCTAATGGGCTCTGAAATTTGGTTGGTAATGGCTTCGGTGGTGACAGTTTGCAATTATGTTTGGTGCATGGAAGTGCTGGCGCCCAAATTACCGTGTGGGAATTTTTTTCCTAGGCTCATGCTTTTAGGGAGGCTGCAGCTGGTGTATGTGTCAGCTCTACTACACATGTGTCTTTTTTCAAACACTTTTGACAAAGCAGCGTTTTCATTCTGGAATCYGACTTTGGGGCAGGTGTTTTAGGTGGCCACTCTGTGACAGCTTGAGAGGGTGCAGGAATGACCGCTGAGGATGAGCAGGGAATAGGAAGGGTCACAAGGTTATCTTCATTTTGCAAGAGGCTAGAGAAGAATCTTGCACATCTGTGTAAGCCCTTTTACTTGCCACAGTGGCTAATGTGCTGAGGCCTGAAATGGAGAAGAATACCGTTGACCATCTTGAGCTTGTTTATTGTGCACGATAGTGTTTTGTACAGAGAAGAGTCAGGAATAAAAAACTGCGGAATCTGACACTGGCTGAAGGGGGTTTGGTGCTCGCCTTGGTGAACAACTAATACTGCTTCACATGGAGCGAACTGCGTATCATGAGCTGAGATGATRTAAGTGCCTGCTGCTGCCAAAGAGGAGAGTTTGTGCTCTTTTCCTCGTGCTTTTTCCTCATGCTACCAAATTTACAGATTAATCTGACTCCTGAGAAGTTGCTGAGAAGTTTTCAGCCTGTTTTGTAAGCTGAAGCCATTCATCAGGGTGTTTCTCGAGCTCTGGAGCAAGAAGGTGGGGAGGAAAAAGCAAGGGGGAGAAAGGCAGCAGCAAAATGCTAGTGGTTTGCAGGATAAGCTTGTGCGCATGTAAGGCAGCCTGGGCTAGCACAGCACTGGGGTGATGTAGCTCCCTGAGCAAGGACTCTGGGCCAGAATGGGATGTTCTTTCCCTCATGAGCACTGACAGTTGACATGCACATGGATGCAGGAAGGTCCTCCTTCATCTGCAGTGTGTGGTAGGGTGTTTTAAAAGCAGGATGAGTCTGAAAAGAGGAGAGAGTGGGGGGAAAAAAATCCTTTTCTTCACTGCTACCTGCTGTGTTGTATTTTTCCTTCCATTTTGTCCATTTCTGTAGAGATGAGACTTGAAAGAAAATAAAGAATCTAACTGTCACTTGAAAGGAGATGAAACAATCACCTGTGTCTTAACCTTTCCATATGTTATAGAGAATCAAATCAAGGATCTGGAGCCCATTGAACAGATCATTTTAATTTTCAACGCTGCCATTTGCATACTGAAAGCATTTTAAACTCGAGTTTCTGTATCACAGTAACAACGCTTATTTCATGGTAAACTTTGATGTAATGGGCATTTTGTGCCTCCTTTGATATTTTGTCTTGTCCCTTTGGCAAACGACTGGCTGCTTTCTGACTTYTCCTTTTTTTCCTGAGCCCTGTTCAGAGCCACGGAGGAGCCGAGATGAATTCCTTGTTTGCAGCTAATATGTCGCTTTCTTTCTAATGGCTTTTCTGGGCAAAGTCTGACTAGCCAATAGCAACATATAATTAGAATGGCTGGGATTGCACTCGTAGCTTTGTGTTAATGCGATACCATTTTTTTCCTCTTCCTGTTAGCCTGTAAGTGGAGATCAAAGGTATTTTCTAAATGTTTGAACATGAAGCTATTTATGCATATGCTTAGCTCAGAAGGAGGGATTCGTGTATCCTCCATCTCCTGAATGGGTAGGGCACAACAGAGAAATATTATTCTGTGCCCTCTGCTCACATAGGAAAAAATCCATATATCTGCTTTTTTAAAAGTCAGCCAAAATGAGCTTATACTTTGTAATGCTCAAATATATTGCTGTTGACAAAATATATACAGTATTTCTTATCCTTTTGTCTTTGAAGCTGTGACTTGAAACAATGAGGTGAATTTTTCTATGCTTTTAAAAGCTTCAGTTTGTAGGTCTGGCTTCACTTGTAGTTTCCCCAATCTTTTCAAATTGGAGATTCATTTTTATTCTATTTTGTACAGTTCTCCAAATGACGAGGGACCCTTACAGACTAGTGAGGGGACATTAAAAAATACTGTAAAGAACTTGGACTTTGCATTGACTTCTGTTAGGAAAAGTCATCTTAAGAAGGTATAGACTAACTTTCTCTTCCACCTGCCCTTCACGCCAACAAAATATGGTCTGAAATGGAAAGATTAGCTGCTAGTTGCTGGCCTCCCTTCAGCTTTAGATAACCTTCATGTCACTCAAGATTATCCAAGGGTGTCCAACACAGAAAACGGAGCTGTCGATACTTCTGCTGTGTAATGCTGCCCGTTCTGCTGTTCTCTGTTGGATAGCATGGTGTGGGCTTCACATAGTGTGTATATATAGCCTTGGAGTTTATTGAAACACATCCCGTGAAGCTTTTAAAATGATACATCTCTACACATAAAAATGCATTATTTCTTTACTTCTGCAAAGGCATAGATACTTTTCAGACTTGTCATCTGAGTTGTGGTCTCACGTAGAAGGAAGCTTGAGGTTAGGGAAGGAAAATAGACTCCGTGTTAAATGGAGTCTAACCCCTTAAGCATTCAGGTACATTACACTGAAGAGCATCTTCCTCACCCAATGCCAGAGCCATTTCTGCCCAGTGAAGTGGTGACACTTCTTGCCCAATTAAGCCAAGTAGAATGGTTTTCTTGCCTGTTATCTTAACTTYTTGGTAAGCCTTTTGAAAGACTCCTCCTGAATATCATGGACAAAGTAACAGTTTTTGTCTCTTCTGTGTAAATGGAATAAACTGACTAAACTCACTGAAACYGAGTATTGGAAATGCTTGAATTTGTAGTAATGCAGCTAAATTATGTGTTTTAAAGTGACTTGAAAAAAACTTCMCCTAGAATTTCACCTAGAAAAAAATTCACCTAGAAACTGTAGTTTCAGAGATTTGAGTTGTTACAATGCTTATGATATATATTTCTTTGAATGCTGATTTTTATTTCAGATTTTTTTTTTCCTATAGCTAAAGCAGCTTCATAAGAAAACCAAACCCTTTCATTTTGCACAAAAATCTTGGAGATGAAAAGGAAGGGGTTTATTTGTTTTATGACATATTTCAACTGTGATGAAGTGTGTCTCTTTCTCTGTTCTGTTTACAGCTATACTTGCACTCCTGAGGCCATGTGAATTAAGAACAATTCATCTGATTTAAGCACCTGTCATAATGTAACACTAAAAACTTATAGCTTAATATTTTAATAGGCAGTGTCAGTCTTGAACACTGAATTGCAGCTTCTTTTGCCCATCATACAATACCTAAAATGATCCTGATGTGTAAAACTTGCTTTTATTTATACCGTTGTTTTGCTTCTCACAATTTGATGTTTATGTTTCTGGAGCCTCTTTGTAATGAGGTGACTTTACATTTTATTCCCAACAGCTGAAAGAGATAGATGCCAAAAAGATTGTCCGAGCAATGTTGTCTTACGTGTGGCCCAAGGACAGGCCGGATCTGCGCGCCAGAGTAGCCATCTCTCTGGGGTTTTTAGCAAGTGCAAAGGTAAGAGCAGCTACTCCATTGCACTGTGGTGGTTGGAGTTCTTGAAAGGAGCAACTTTTTTATATATAAAGGTCTTAAAATGTTTTGATTGCTTTCTATATACTGTATTCCCATATAGCATTACAAATATGTATGTTTTAAAAAGCAAATATGTGTTTATGCCCGTGATATTCATGTGTGTGACTGGGGAGATCCTGAAGGTCAGATGTGTGATTTGCATTGCTCGCAGTTTAGACCAGGATATTTTTCATTACTATTTAACCCATTTTATGAGAGATTTGTAAACTATGAGAGGGATAAATATGAGACACAACTGGTCTGCACATAGATCTGTGCAGAGATCTGTGCTTGTCAAACAGGACTTCTCCAAGGCTCTGTGGCCATTTTCAGCTACACCGTTAAGCAGTGTGGTCCTGTGCACTCACARCTCTTGCCACCCCATTGAAAAAGGCATTTCAGCTCCAGTGATTCCAGCTGTGTGAGATGGCAGTGGAATTTTTAGTGGTTCAGGTTCTCTTCTGGTGTCATAATATGAAAGCTTCATAATTTTTTACTTATGTATTGAACCGTGCTTCTGTTCAACTCATTTTTCTTTCATGTGTAGTCTTTTTATTATGAATGAGGATTACTCTTACCTCTGCTTGATCATATGTTGCACTCTTGCCTGCAATGAATTAATATTTACTAGTTTCTTGGAAGGACATAGGCATGAAAAAGCTTTTCACAGCTTAATGGAGTATATGATGCAAATTTGTTCAATGTGAACATTGTGCACAAAACATTTTGCTTTTAAAAAAAAAGTGTTGGGAGCAAATGTTCACTTATTGAGATAGGTGAACTGACTTCCTTTTTGGTATGAGTTTTTACTATACACTAGGCCAGTATTAGGCTTTTGCTGGGGTGAACTAAAGCAGATCCTACTTAGCAACGAGTTTTGACACTCCAGGCTAGTTGCGCTGTGTTTCCTTATCAGCATTCAGCAACACTGTCCAGTTATGAAAAGAGAGGGAAGAAACAAACTTAACTGTGGAGGTGATAAAAGGAGGAGAATGTGGAAGGGAACTGGGTTCATCTATTGGAGCAGAGAAGGGAAGGCCAATCTACTGGTGTGCAGTGCTTTCACTAGCTGAGACTGCCTCCAGTAGATAGTCTGTTTGGTGCTGCTTCTCAGGAGGATGCTGATAATTCAGCTGGCAATATGCAGAATGTACAAGATATGTGCAAGTAAACTTTTTAAATACACCGTTTTGGTATGCCTAGGCAAGATGTGCAGCAATGTTTTGAATTTCCCTTAAATTATCTGGGGAAACTGTCTGTTCAAAATGCAGACGCTAGGAACTTCTTTTGTCTTTTTCTCCTTTCTCTCACGTTATGTATGTGTGAATATGAAGAAGAAAGTTAATCCGGAGTCAGATCCTGCCTGTGGCAGCATAGTACCTTGCTTTTAGGAAATGTGATAATGTTCTAGACAGCTTTCTGGCATGCAGAGAAAATAAAATTGATAGCCAGCATGCCTGCCTTGTGCACAGCTCTGCATTAGGGAGTTCTTCTATTAAATGTCCATCTGTGTATGGTTTTACAAATATGTAGGGTCACCTGAGCTTACCAGGAAACCTGATTTGCTTGGGGAATGTTTCTGCCCATCATTGGCTTCATGAATATTGTTTATTTTTGCTCAGACTAGGAGAACAAAGTGATGATGCTCAAACTTTTTTCTCCAGAGTAAATAATTTCTGTTTAAATTTCTGTTAAGTACCGCCATCAACAGGGTAGTTTTTATTCTCAGTCACACAAGTCACCTGCAGATACTTAGTACCTGGTAGACAGCCAGTTAGGGCTTTCTGTGGCTTCAGACTTGGAAATAATTGTTTGGTGGCATTTCTTTTAGTGACGTTTCATCGTTGCAATCATGTTATGCAAGGACAGAACTACAGCTGGTCAAAATGCAAGCTGTACATTTGGTATAAAACTGAGTTTTTCTATTGAGAGACATGCTTCCGCCTGCCTGCAATAAAAGTGCCATTTATTTGCATTTTCTCTGGGGAAGTAACTGCATGCATGGATCTCTCATTCTCAATTTTTCTGCTTCCATGCAGTATCTGGATTTTCTTCTTGCACTTCCCCCTTGCATTTTTTTATCTCCTTTACTGGGATATATAATGTAAATGCTTCTTTGTTTTCCCACTTCAGGTTCTGTGCAATATCCAGAGCAGCCTCTAGGAAGGAGAGCAGGAAAGCTGTGGAGCTCTAACCAGACTTTAGGAGATGTTTACCAAAATATGCATTTTTCTCTGCTGTTTTAACAAACAAAATTTAACTGGGAAAACATACAGCTAGCACTCTATGGAATATATATTGTACAGGCTGGGGCAGAAGGTTATGTATATGTCTTCTAGCTGTCCTTTGCTAATCTTGTTTTGCTTTTATTGTTACAAACCCATGTTAAAACTCAAACTTTATTGAGCAACTGCCCTTTAACAAGTTACCACTCGTCAGCTGTGCTTTGCCCACTGGACTAAGTTTCCTTAAATTGCTTCATGTTTTATACCTTCTAATCAGGCATTTAGTTATTGCAGGAGAAGTGATACACAGTAGTTTGTTGCAGAGCTGTTTTAATTCCATCATATCTCTGAGCCCTGATCATCTGGTTTTGTTCCAGGGTAAGCTAAAGATCACTTTGCCCTACAGAAAATTAAACCCAGCAGTTTAATAACTTAACAATAACTTGCCTAGACCATGTGTAACCCTGTGCATTTTCCTCATTTTCTCATTTGAGAGTGCTTTGTTCTGACTGCTCATGAGATTAATTGCAACATACTTGCCATACCACACAAGCAGTTTTTTAAAGTAGATTGAGATATGGTTGTGTTGGCACAAAAATGCACGTGTGTTTTTCCTCTCTCTGCAATTCTCTCCTGATTTGCTTTCTTCATTATGTACTTGTCTGTATCTGAGAGGTTTACGTCCGTAGTTTGGCTTTTTATAACCTGTTCTTCAGGGATTTGCAAGGAAAATTACATGATCACGGTGCCTGCTACTAATTCTTCCCCCGAAGAAATACTTTTTAAAGCCTTTTGGCCGGTTTAATTTGAATCTGACAAAAGAATTTGGTGGGGTTGTGCACGTCTGTATTTATGAAGCCAGGTTTCCAGTTAGAAGAAAAAGATCCAAGCAGTGACTGAGAGGGAGAGAAACTGGAAGGTGAGTTCAGTTTTTGCTGTAAGAAACCTGAAGAGGATCCACAGGATGGAGAAGAGAGGTGGGCAATGAAATTCCCAGCTGTGGGAAGAAATGTTGAGTCTCCACCCTGTTTCACATGGGCTGACTTACTCACTAAATACAAAGCACCTGCAGACTGTACCTCCTAGGTCTGCTGCTTGTGGGATAGTTTCTTATTTTTCTTTCAGTCTTCCAGTTAAATAAAATTCAATTTTGAAACAAAAGCTAGTTTGTGTTTTGTAGCTCCTGAAGAGCCTGCAGTTATAATCTGTCTTGACTCCTTTTGCGGGGCCCCGTTGCCTGTCATTGAACAAATTATTGTGATTTTTGGTTCCTTCCTGTCTACACATAACTGCTAGAAATATTGTTAGCCTTCAAAGTGAACTGTTTGTGTAGCTTTTTATGACTAGGAGCTGACAGGAGGGAGTCAGCTCCTGGGTTAGTAAGGTCTCTCTTCCCTGGAAGATTTATTGTATTATGACATGCTTTAAATTTTTATCTTAAATATTTATAGCCTATCTAGACTTACATGATCTGAAAGATGCAACAAGGAGACAGGTGAAAGCAGTACACAAGACATTATCTATGTTTTCAGACACAGATTAACCTTCACAGGTTTTAGATACCCGTCTTTTCTTGCACCTTCCCCCTCCCATTTTTTTGCCATCTCTACTGGGATATATATTGTGAAACTTTTTTTCCTCTTCCCTTTTTCTTATGTGACACAAGAAGGAAAAGGGCTCTGGCTCCCTTAGGACTAGTGTAGACCCATGAATATGACAATTTCTTGTCACATCTGACAGTCTGTAGCATTCCTGGCCTTTTTGGTCATGGACCAAGTATGTGTTATTCACGAGGAGAGATCTTTCAGGCTATCTGCATTTCTACTGATGGTTAATTCTGTAAGCTTCAGAAGAAATTGTTTGAGTAAAAAGGTGAGACACGGGTGTTGCATTAGAAATTTTGTCAGTGTGTAAAGATAATGGTTTCTGTCTAATCAGTTAAGTAGGTGCATATAGTCCTTGTGCTTGAGCCCTTCTGATAATTAGATGGAATTAGGCAAGTTCGCTAAACCTTTAGAAACCCTCTTAGTTTTGGAGGGAGGTCTCAGGTGAGAGATATTTCTCAATTTAAGGTTTATTTAATTATTTTTGCAGAAATTACATTTCAGATTATCTGTGATTTCAAATTACATGAAATCTGCAATTTTATAAAATCTGTGATTTCATTAAGCTAGAGGCTCCTTCCTCCCTTTGGGCTGTATTTTGTAGCTCTTCTAGGATCCTGGTGTCTGAAGGGGATGGAATTTGCTGTTCATTCACCCACAAATGGAGTCATTGCAGGATGTGTGTGGAGGTGCCCTTTTGTACTGCCCGGATGAATTCAGTCACCTTCATCTTAATGGTTTTCATTAAGTTACTGACTAAAGAAGACTTCACTGCAGCTCAGTTTTATCGTGCTGGGTACTCAGCCCGTCACTAGTTTGTCATCTTTATTAAACATGAAATACTGGGAAGTGCAAGATGAAAGAGCCCAGCTTGCCCTAAAAGTGGTGCTGTCCCACCTGGGAATCGAAATGATGCATTGTCAGCCTGAAATAGTGCAATTATTTTAGAAATGTTTAAACCCATTGAAACATGATGTATATTATGCTGTTGAATGTGCACAGTTGAGCTGGGATGGCTTCACGTGTTGTATTTGCTTATGCTTAACAATAAATTCAGGTAAGGGTAGTTATTAAGTGAAAGTTACAAGAAAATGTATAAATTTATATTAAGAGTCTTTTAATAGAGGAATTGTTCTTCAGCTTTGAGGCATGAGGAGGAGGAGGGAAATTGAAACATATATACTGCATAAGACTATTAAGATATTTTGCCTGGTTGATTTTATTTATAGAGTACCTGTGTGTGCTTCAAGCTTTGAATTTGTGCCGGCTCATATAGGCTCGTATAGGCTGCTAAAGAGATAGCTGTGAGTTTGTGCAGAAGGCTGAAATTTTGTTGCCATTAATATGAATGTGATCTCATTGACTTAACAAATTGCGCAGGAAAGGCCTGCTTCTAATAATGGGCTCTCGTATCTCTTGCTATAAACTTTGTAAGATTAACTTTTTTAATGACTGGAAGGCAGACTGTGTTGATTACTAATGAAATGCAACACCATGCTGCCTTGTTCTTATTCAAGCTTCACCCTCCAGGAGCCAGATCTACTATAACCTGAGACCAGGCTTTAAATTTCATTTAAAACTCTATTGGGTAGAATTATATTGATGTGAAAGGAGACATTTCTGCAAAATTGTAGGCTGTTGCCAGTAAAATTAATTGAGAGTGGAGAACTGCAGTTTAAAGAGTACGTCTCTTTTCTTTAAATGGACTTTAAAATATATCTATAGTTCTATTTCTAAACTACCTGTAGTGTAGCATAGTCTACCGAAGAGTAAAATCCCTGCAGAGGGATTTGTGAGAATGTGCAGCAAATCAAGACAATCTGCATTACAATGCTCTTATTTTCTACTGAGTAGGCTCTCCCAGGAAAACCTGCTCTTTGTCATGTTGGTCATCACTAGAACAGGTGCTCGTATATTCTCTTTTATTAAGAACAAAATGCTACGAAAAAAAATACCAGTTTCAGTAACTCTGATGGGAATTGCAGGCTTTTTTTTATTACACTGGGGAAAGGAGGGGAGGTTTGCCGGGATGCTGAATCTCTACAAATGCATCCTGAGTTCTTTGTGGGGCTTTATGCTTAAAGTTTAAGCAGGTAACAAGAGAGATCTGTTCTTCTATTGTGTATAATTGAAGTTATCAGTCATTACAGTGTACAGCTGCTTTGGTGGTGTTTGTCGGCTTTGTGCAGATAAAGCCAACTTTGGGTCTTTATTTTTTTTTTTTCCACCATTCTGCTCTATTCAAGGGAGTGAATGTTGCTGAGTGACACTGAGCCTTGCATTGGATACGTTTTCAAAAGAGCACATTGGAAGCAGGGCCTGATCTTTCAGCTGGTGTCTTTCTCCAGCCCCAAGCTAACCGATAATAATCTCACCCTGCTGCTCTCCAATCTCAGCGGCCGCCTCGGGAAACTGCCCGGCTTCTGCTGCACGGAGCGGGTGGCCACCGATTGCTATTAGGATCTCTTTAGGGGAGAAAGACAGCAAGAAAGGGCGAAGGAGGATTCCTTCCTCATTTGCATTAAAAATTTTGTCCATAGTTTAAATGATTCTTAAAAAAAAAAAAACCCTCTTTCCCTGTCCAATTGAGGAAATACATTTACTGGGATTTATTAAAATTCTATAGTTTAAAAATTTAGGATTTCCAGAAACTTTTCCCTCATAGTGAAGTATCTATGTCTTCCATTAATAACTGTAATTTTTTGTGCCATGTAATACTGAGTATTTTTGATACTCGGCCAGGATTTCTTTTGTTATAAGTACTAAAAACCTGTCTTCCAAATTTAGTTGTTACTAAAGTGATCAAATTACGTTTTTTTTCCACTTTAAACTTAGTTTACTCTTGATCCAGTTAATTTACACAGTTGTCTCTTTAAATGGGCTTCCATCTCTGACTGGGTCCCTAAATGCACTTCAAATACAAGACACGCAATGTCTGATAGAGCTGAAATATCTTTGTGAACCTGCTTTGACTTTTGTTTTCTTGTTATGTAAAATAACTCATTGTTCACCCACAAGGATTTTAATTGATGAATTCTGTTAATTGAAATTTATATTTACTTGTCGAGTTTTTCTTTACTTGTTTTTATTGAATGGTGTAATCAAGGAACATTAATGACCCTAGATTTCTGTGGGCTTTTTTGTTTGCTTTCTTTTAAGCTTTCAGATTATTTTTTTTATGTTACAGTTTAAGAAATGTGCATGAAAAGTCCTAWAATTGATTTATTTACATAGCAAATTTTCTTCCTCCTAGCATTGTAGAGGAAATGCCCCTGTCTGGGGTGCTGTGCTTGAGTGTTGATGCTGCCTTACAAAGCATCTAGTGACATATCATATATTTAGCTTATGGATAGGCTTTTGATATTTTATTGGAATGCTCATGTTATTCAGAATGTSTTGTAGACTTTGTAGTAAGCCATTTGTGCCAAACTGCCAAATGTTAAGGTTCATGTAGATATAAAGTTAATGTTTATTTTAATAAATTAACCTTCTTTCCCTTTGGCTTCACTAGAGCTTTTTTTATTGTTGTTGACTGACTCACAGTGTGTTTTGTTTGTGGTGTGTGTGTGTGTGCGTGTAGTAGCTGTTGCCAGTATAGAAAAGAGGAGGCAACATGTAATGGCAACAAAACTTAGTGCTGTTGTAACTGTGTTGTGCAGTGTGTGCTCTTCGTGTTGCCCAGCTTTGCCACTCCTCTGGTGAATGCTCAGATTTGGTTCAGGCCATTTTGCAGTGCCCAGTTTGGGTAGGATGGAAGCTGGTACTGAAAAGGAGCCTATGGCGGGGAGAGACACACACACACACACACACACACACACACACACACACACACACACACACACACACACACACTACCCTGCAGCCCCCAAAGCAGAAAATTTTGTCTTGAAATCAAGAGCACCAGCTCTTAGTGGTGAAGAACTAAATATAATAGTGTGACTATTTCGGGAAAATATATTCCTGCTGCGCAGATATGCCTTTTAATGCATCCTCACTAATTGGTGTTCTTATGGTTTTAGGCCATGAATATATTGGTACCTTTCATGTTTAAATATGCAGTAGACAACCTCAACCAGATGTCTGGAAACATGCTGAACCTCAGTGATGCACCCAATACGGTCGCAACGGTGGCAACTGCTGTTCTCATCGGCTGTAAGTGGGATTTCGGGATCCCGCGATGGGGGTTGACCTTCCCTGGGAAGATAGTGGGACAGCAGAGCTCTGTACTGTGAAGCACGGGGACATTTATTCTTTAAGATCTCTCTGCTGGCATCCGTTTCCAGTGTCTTGTGACCTTGACTCTAGTGTTCCAGTTATAAAATGAAGTAATGYGTATAGAAACACTTCTCACTTATAACTTTTAACCTGCGCACCAAGTAGGTGTAAGAGAGACTTGGAAATGTGTGTACATTGTTTATAAATGCAGAGTGTAAAATTTTGGGTAAATGAAATCAATCACCTTTGAAGTAAAAATGTTGAAAATACGTGAAGAATGAATCTAATGTAGTAATTTCATGCAAGAAGGCAAGTGGGGAAAAAAACTCAATTCTTCTAATGCTTTTTTAGATGGTATCTCAAGAGCTGGGGCAGCGTTATTTAACGAAGCTCGAAATGCAGTGTTCGGGAAAGTCGCTCAGAATTCGATCAGGAGGATAGCAAAGAATGTTTTCCTGCATCTTCACAACCTGGACTTGGCTTTCCACCTGAGCAGGCAAACAGGAGCCCTGTCAAAAACCATCGACAGAGGAACGAGAGGCATCAGCTTTGTCCTTAGCGCTCTAGTATTTAATCTGGGACCTACCATGTTTGAGGTGGCGCTAGTCAGTGGGATTCTGGTACGTGTGGGGTTTTCATGAGTTGCAGCGGTCTCTTTGGGGAGTAATGAACTGAAATTCTTTGTGCCAAAGTCTAAGCAGACATTGAACTTGCTAGTTGGTTGTTGTGAAAGTAACTGCTCCGAAGGAGAACAATTCTTAGTTTTCAGTTATTCATTTTAAATCTGCTTATTTTAAATTACTTCTGTGGTTAGTACGTGTCTGCAGGCAGTCGTGTTTATGTAGGTAGTTTTTAATGTGTTTCTTTAGCATTGTTGGAAAAAATGAACTCATAAAAACAAACTTTGAATGCAAGTATCAAATCTATCTGGGTAGATATCAAAAATGAAAGATGTTAATGTCCAGAAGTGTTACCTATCAGCATGCTGAGAGGAGAGAGTGATGATCAGCTTATTATTTTAGTAAATTATTATCTTAATTTACTATCTTTGAAATAAGGATATGCCAAATTTAAATCTCACTTGTGAAGCTTATACTAAATTAGAAGCAAGAATCTTGTTTTGTTCTCTTTTGAGAGACTTAATCAAATGTAAACTTAAGAATACATGTTAAAAATCTTTTTGGTATTTGATTAATTTTTTTAACCTTTGGCAGTTGCAAATCAAGCTGGTTAGCCACTGCCAGGCCATGATACCTTAATTTTTCTTTGGACTTTCAGTCCTGATGTGCCCTGAAATAGTGAGATCCCTTCCTGTTTGTTTGCCCCCAGGCTACATCTTTCTTTTAAAATCTCCCCACAATCATATGCACAAATATTTGTTTTTGATAACAGCAACATACCTTTTCCTGTATGGTGTTAGACACTCGCTCTTGGTTATCTCTGCTTATCTCTTATCTCTGTTCTGCCTTTGCTCTTCTCCTGGTTCCTTTCCTGCTAAGCTTCCGATGATGTTTGAACTGTTAAGTGCAAGGGATGTGTTGAGAGGGACCTTCCCAGTTTGTCCCTCTAGGCTACGGTGTCATAAATTTGAGAAAACAGAAAATTTTGAATGTTATTATGACTGTGTTTCCCCTCCATCCTGCAGTATTACAAGTGTGGCGCAGAGTTTGCCCTGGTCACCCTGGGGACGCTCGGAGCGTACGCGGCCTTCACCATCGGAGTCACGCAGTGGAGGTGAGGCATCACAGAATCACAGGATATTCAAGGTTGGAAGGGACCTCTAGAGATCGTGTAGTCCAACCTTCCCCACTCAAGCAGGCACACCTAGAGCATGTGGCACAGGGTGGCAYCCAGGCGGGTTTTGAAGACCCGCCTGGATCCCCGCGGCTGTGTGCCGCGCCCCCTCCGCCCACCTCACACCTCTCTTAAACCTTCCTTTTCCAGGACTAAGTTTCGAATCGAAATGAACAAAGCAGATAATGATGCAGGTAATGCTGCAATTGACTCGCTGCTAAATTATGAGACTGTGAAGGTAAGACTGCTCTGTACTGCTAGGCTCTTTGCCTTACTTGCCCCTGCCTTGTCTTGCATCTCCCAGCCTCAGCAAAGTGAGTCATAAGGTTCCTCTTTTGTACTGCTATGTGTTTCAAACAATAGCATGGTTTGGAAAGCACTGTTCTCTCAGAGAGTATAAACACTGTAGCGTGAAAATCATTTGGGCTTGAAAAATCCTATTTGTTGGTAAACAGCGAGAAGCTTCCGTCATGACTGGATGGTCTTGACCTTTAGTTTCTGCAAAATGCAAACCTAGGCTTGGAGAGAAATCTCTTCATTTGTCTGCAAAAATTATCTTCTGAATGTAAAGAGTACTCTTCTGCAGAGATTGTGCCTGTTGCTCTCTGTAGCACTCTTTTTTCAGTGCTCACGGGTGTCTCCTTGTCCTTTTACAGCTGCTACTAAAAATTCCCGTGGACAGCTTTGAATTTACCCAGCATCATGCTGATTTTATGCTTCTGTTAATTGCAGAGCTATAGTTGGAAAGATATGCAGTCTCTACCCAGAAGGAGAGATTGTATGAGAAGYAGACCTTGGCATCCTCAGAGCAACAAAGTGCTTCTGGTAGATAGAGGGCAGTAACTTTTGCTTCTTTCCAGTATAGAGTGGTAGCTTCATTTGAGGGCTAGACATCAATTAGGTAGAAGTTTTGCAAGAGAGACCCCCAGTGTGTTGCTACATTATAAGCATGGTAGGGATTTCTGTATCGCTTCCTTTACTTATGCAGAAAGTGCTGTGTTTTGTCTCTTARTAGTTTTGCCATCATATATTGGTCTTTGATCATTTTTGTTCTTTAGTTGTTGGAAGTATTGAAGGCAGGTGTGTGTGTCTGTGCATGTAGTGTTCTACTAAATTTTATAACAAGTTAAATACAGTTTTGTGTATTGAGTGTGACATTTATTATTTCTGTGTGTATTACAGTATTTCAATAATGAAAAATATGAAGCCCAACGGTATGATGGATTCTTGAAGACCTATGAAAATGCCTCCCTGAAGACTACCTCTACTTTAGCTCTGCTGAATTTTGGGCAAAGTGCTATATTTAGCATTGGCTTAACAGCCATCATGGTGCTTGCTAGCCAGGGCATTGTTGCAGGTAATGCTCTGTATGTAAGCTAAAATAGATTCTCTTTTACCTTAATTCATCTATACTATGCATTGTACGTTTTTTCTTATTGATATTTAAGCCCTTCRATAGCATCCAAATTGGTTTGGAGTACATCCTTTTTATCATGTTATCTCTCTCATGTCTGCATTTGCTTTTGCTAAGTGAGGCTAAGACAGGCAAGAGTGGAGGGGTAAGTCACTAGCCGCAGTTTAACACTTTTCTTCAGAATATTTAGCCTGTCCCTTGAGCAGGACACTGGAAGTGTGGCTTTAAATCACCTTTCCTGACCTGTTTCAGTTGAACTGGCTTAGCGCTTGCCTTTAGCTAGTGTKTCACGTCGCAAGTTGTTTCTTGATCCATGTATTTGATGTAAAGCTGCCCAGGGGTTCCCACAATGTGTATGAGCAGCTCTGTGTTAGAGAGTAGAGGAAGCCCTCGCTCTTGCTCATGATGTATCTGAGTATTTGGATTTGCTTATAGTTCTTAAGGTTCAGAATGCTTGCTTTTTGCATTTGCTTGTTTTCGTGTATTGTTTCTTCTTTTCCCCATGTGTCTCATTTTTTTAGGACCCTTTATGTTTGTAGTTTATAGCAATAGTATTATTTTCTGTGAATTTTTAATATGCTACTTATTTTTCAAGTATTATCTTTATTAGTGAAATCCATATAAACATGGCTATACCTTTCAGATACCTTTCCAGCTAAAATCCAATCCTTTAGAATGTATTTTGTTTACTGCTTAAACTTTTGGKTTTAGAAGTGCTTTAATGGAAAGTAAACTTTTTTTCATTTTTTTCTGCTTCATAACAAGACCTATCCTTAAAGTCTGTTTTTCTCACTCATTTTGCCTTAAGGGAGCCTGTCAGTTGGAGATCTCGTGATGGTCAATGGATTGCTGTTCCAGCTTTCTCTGCCCCTAAACTTCCTGGGAACAGTGTACAGAGAGACAAGACAAGCGCTTATAGATATGAATACCTTGTTTACACTTCTCAGTGTAGATACTAGAATTAAAGTAAGTAGTAGCTTATTTTCCTTAAGTATTTGCATGTTTAATGAGTCTGTTTTTAGCAATGCTGCTGTTTTACTCTGATGCTGTTCAGGTTTAACTGCTGTTCAAGAAAGGGTTACTGTCTAAGGATGCTGTTTAGCATCCTCTTTAAGTGCAGTTAGTGCAATGGCTGCTGCCTTTTTCTTGCAGAACCTTTTAGTGAGAGCATAAGTTGCTTCAAAGAAACTGTTTGTACTGAGGTTTTTATTTAAGCATTCATACCTTGTGCTTAATTTTTTTTTATTTGTAATTAATGATGCAGAATTTATTACTGCAGGAGTTGTGAAGCGGAATGTTTACAGCAGAAATTTTTGTCTTTGGGAAAAAGGATGATTAAATCAATTTTACCTGTGTGGATGGTCATGATTATTTTCAACATATCCAAGCTAGAGTGTCTATTTGCCTTTTTCTGAGTTAGGAAATGSACTGTTTAGCTTGTTGAACTGCTTGCAATACTTTCTGGGCAGCATATAAAGTGGCACTCTTCTTTTAATAGGACAAAGAGCTGGCTCCACCCCTGCAGATCACACCACAGACTGCTGCCATCGCCTTTGATAATGTGCATTTTGAATACCTTGAGGGGCAGAAAGTCCTTGCTGGAGTGTCTTTTGAAGTCCCTGCAGGAAAGAAAGTGGCCATTGTAGGAGGTAGTGGGTCAGGGTGGGTAAATGGACTACATGCAAAATTCTGCATCATTGATTGGCGTTTTTGTAAATGAGCTTGTTCTTGCATTTTGTTTTTTTATTTCTTTCGTCCGTGATGTCAGTGTTTTGACTGGAGATTTGCAGATGATAACCTAAGGATTTAATGGTTGCTTCAATTCTCTTTCTGTTTCAGGAAAAGCACAATTGTGAGATTATTATTTCGTTTCTATGAACCTCAGCATGGAAATATTTATGTTGCTGGACAGAACATTCAAGATGTCAGTTTGGAAAGTCTGAGAAAGGCAATAGGAGTTGTACCCCAGGTATTGAAGTGTTTCACTTTCCCCAGATAGCCCTTTGTGATGGTAGCTTTTTATATTCTTGCATTGTGGTTCTGTAGGAGCTGGTTGTAATGCAGTGATACTGTCTAGCTCCTTGAAAGTCACTGTCCTTAATTTTCTCAGGAAGTACTACCGATTTTTTATGTGCGTTGTATAGATCTAATTCTTGAAATGTGTTTAAGCCCCTTGAAGCTGGAGGCTGTTTCTCATGAAGTGATTTACATTTATCGTTGATTATCACCTTTGAGTTAGCAAAACTGTAAAAGAATGAATGTGTCTTTAGCACACAACAAAGCGTCTCATTCTCATTTTGGGGGGAAATTCCCAAAATACTCAAAACATTTGTGGAAAAATACAAGCCATTTTGTACTGGTTTCTTTCAAGGGTCAGAGACAGCATTTTGAACCAGTGTGCACAATTTCTAATTGAAGATGCCCTTTCTCTACCTGCAGGATGCCGTCCTCTTCCATAATACCATCTATTACAATCTGCTGTACGGCAATATCGGCGCGACGCCGGAGGAGGTGTACGCGGTCGCRAAGCTGGCCGGAATCCACGAGGCAATCCTTCGAATGCCCAATGGCTACAACACGCAGGTTGGTGAACGGGGACTCAAGCTCTCAGGTGGGTCCTTACGTGCACATGTGCTTTGCATCCCTTTTGCTAGCTCAGTGTAGAGTTTGTTCATCGGTTACGCTTGCTTTAGCTCGTTTTCATTGTAACAAGTGCAGGGCTAAATATTAATAAACTGTAGTTTAAGTCGACGTGATATCTAAAGGGTTGTATTTGCAGGGGATGATGTTCAATGAGGTGATAGGTAAGCACATAAATACATCTAAACAAAAATAGTCTTACTGTAAAACATTTGGCTTGTGAAATACATATAAATAACACTGAGAACTCTATGTATGACAGTATAGAGTTATCTATGCAGAGACCTCCTGAATCTCGATCTTTAAATTTAGACTTCTAACTGCTGAAATATAGAGATTTTTTTGTTTTTCCATCATAAAAGTGCCTTCAGGTCTTCTCCTTTTGAATTTGCATGTTTTTCTTTTTTTTCATTTTTTAATGCATAAACTTTGACAGCATATCTACAAATTGTGGATTTATATAAAGCGGCTTTGATACTGAAATAAAATATCCTGAGTTTAGGTTCTCTGAGTTTCTTCATAGCCAAATAGGCACCCTGTCTAGTGCAGACCCACCTCATATCAGCTTTTTTACCAAAATAAAATAACCAAAAAAAAAAAAAATTATTATTATTTTTTTTTTTTACAAAACCATTTTTTACAGTTTTACAAAATTAAGTTTCTTCTTCCTCCCTGGATGTCTATCTCTGCACCCATATTTCTCATATGACTCCTCCTTCCATGTCTATTAAAATTGCACACATTTTTTTTGGAGGAGTATGGGGAAGATAATGCTTGAAAGCAAATACTGTTTTTGTGGCAGGTAATGTGAGATGATAATGTAAGATAAGAGATCATTTGGGAACTGGGAAATGTCTAAATCATTTGCCTTATTCTTTCTCTGTTTTTTAATGGTGAATTTAGGATTTTTAAAGTGCCAAGTTTATCTTTAAGTATAATTTTAGGTAGTAGCTAGATTCCATTGAAGCACTTTCAGTCTTAAATGTCTTAAGCTAAAATTACTTTGAAAGAAAGCACAAGGATTAGCATTAAATGTACATTGAATGAAACAAAATCAAAATTCCTGTTTTGATTGATTGAAGGATATATTATTATTAGGTACATAAATATTTTATTTTAGATAAATCTTTATCCTATCATCTTAGAGCATTTAAAGGTTTTGGATTTTCTTTCTTAATGGATATATAATGCAAGATAGAAAGGAATAGTCATAGTCACTTAATGAGACTTTCCCATTTAATTCACTGATGAATTTGGTGGCTGCAGAGTTCTTTAAAATAAATTCCTGCTCTTGTTCCAAGAAAGCAAAACACACTGGGACATTGCTTAGACCTTCTGGTCAGCAGTGCTAGTGGCAGGGCACAGGTTTCACGTTGGACCCCTTGATCTTAAAAGCATTTGGGAGCACTCGGTGTGTGGATTGAGCCTGTGCCTCGCTCGCCTGTTTCCTGGCTTGATTTAGCTTTATGCCTCCCTCCAAATAAATAAATAAATAAATAAATAAAGGTGGTGGTAGTGGAAGGTTTGTGTATTTCAGTGGTTCTCCTGGAAGTTGAGGCATTTTATATTCATTTTGGGGGAAAAAAATGAAGATTTGAGGAGCACTGACATGGAAGATGGCTCAGAGAAAGGCAGTGACGATACCAAGAGTGACGTGTGGACGGTGGTGCAAGATGCCAGAAGTAACTGCAGTCTCAATTTGGGGCCCTTTTTCTCTGATTATTTAAATCTGCTGAGAGGAACAAGTGGTTAATCTAATCAATAATGCATGATTTGGATCCTCTCTGTATGCAGCATTTGCACCCTTGCTATATTAAAGATTCTGTTCTTCCAGTAAAGGAACAGTGTACATATTCTTGGAACAAAGCATTATAAAATATATTTTAGGAGTTTTGTCTGATCTTAAATTTTTTACTCGACTACCAAGAATCTTAATAGGAACAAGGCTCCCTAATGGCAATGCACTTATAGTGCTGCTGGCCTGTGTGTGGTTGGGATGAGCAGGAAAAGGGTCTGTGTGCTGCAAATATAAGGAAAAAACATGGATTTTTGATATTGGTGCATGCCTTTCGAACAGGGATGTTGCCAAGTTGCCAGCTTTGGTCATACTTTAAAGAAGGGAGGAGAGAGGGAGAGTGTATGAAAACAGAGCTGCACAATTTATTCAACCGAGTTACTACTGACTTTTCCCCTGAAGATAGTTTAAGTCTTGAGGAGCACCAAGATTATCAACCTTTTAAATGGTTTATTAGAGGACGTTCTCTCCTGATGGGAGCGGATCATTAATAAGAGCATGATGGTGTTAAACAGAATCTTGCCAAGTCTTGCCTCAAACACAGGAGAGCAGGCGCACAAATGTTAAACGTTTGCATTCATACCAAATGTTTAGCAGATTTAAAGTCCTCAAATGCACCTGTGTTCCTGTCTATAAAACTTGTCATAAGTTATTCTTGGGGAAATCAGTTGTCTGTAAGAATTGTGAAGGAAGGAAACTATTCTGAAACCACTTATATCAAAAAAACAGCAGGCAGCGCATTGCATAATGAAGATGATTTCAGTGCCAGGCTAATTGTATTTCTTAATGAAATTCACTCGTTAAAGCTGTTAGTTTTGGACACTTAATTCAGGCTTTAGAGCAGTGGAAAGCTGGGTGAATTTCCAGGCGAGACGGGAAGGAGAAGGTGCAAGTTGTGTGCGACGCAGGCGGCCGCTGCGGCCGCGGAGCCCGCCTGGGCAGGCGGCAGCGGGGAAGGTGCCCTTGCCGCGTGGGACGTAGCTCGCAGGGAGCAGGTGGGAGAGCACGAGCCTCCCTTGTGTGTGGAAAGAGTTACTGTCCCCCCTCGCTCTTAATACCTTTAGCATCTGTGAAATAGTTCACCTTCCCATTTAGAGATGATGATCTGGAATCACTGTATTTACCTGGAGAAACAACCTGTACAGTATCTTTTGTAACCTACCTGCAGACTTGTATCACTAGTAACTATGACATGTATTGAAAAGCCTTAAGGAATGAACATCTCTACTGTTGAGTTTAGAGTAACCTACAAGTCAGGACTATAACTTCTTTTTTCTTTGTTTTCTCTTCCATTCCCCTTGCCCTCCCCTTATACAGGAGGAGAAAAGCAAAGAGTTGCAATCGCTAGAGCGATGCTAAAGGAGCCACTTATTTTTCTCTATGATGAAGCCACATCATCTTTAGACTCAATTACAGAAGAGGTAAATTGGCAGAAAGAAATATAAATCTTAAGGGGTGCGATGATGTCTGATCCTAGTACTTTTTCCTTCTTTCCTTCTCAGAAAGAACCTATTCTTTTTGCTTGATTGCTATAATGTATTTTCTTAATATTAATGTTAAGTGATCCTAAGGCTAATCCCTTTTCCTAAAGGCCAGAGTGAGAGATACTGAGCCCCATCTGCCTTGAGCTAGAGGGAAGAATGTTAGTTCTGTCTCTTGGGGTGATGCCTGTTTTCCACCCTGAGGTGCTATTCGCTATGAAACATGCATGTTTAGAAACTGTTGCAAATAATTGGCCATGATCCCCTTTACTAGATGCGAACCAAACACATTTTATTCATTTAAAAATTAGTATCATAAATGATTTTGATATAAAGTGGAACAGAAAAGCCCTTGTTCGTTGTGCAGCATCTTTCTGAGATGCAAATCAGGTAGGCGTAACCTGCAGCACTGCTGTTAATTTGTATTCCCTTCACAGGGAGGGCTGTGAAACATCCGAGTGTTGTGACATGGATGTCATGACACTACCACAGCAACTGCATCAGGCTTCATAACTGCATCTTTGCTTAAACACAACACTCTCAGCACCAGCAATAATTTCACAAACTAATGTCATCTAAAACCAGTGCTCTGTGTATGTTTGTCTTCACTTATGCAGATCATTGAGCAAATTTGCTGACCTGTAATCACTAAATTACTTTCATTTTCCAGATGCGAAGGAGCTAAGGTACATACTGTACATCTGTATAGTACAGCTTTCAAATAATAATTCCCAGCTCCCAACTGGGCTCCCTCATATGATCAGAAATGTTCTTAACACAGTTCTGCACAATAACACTTATTTTTTCATTTTGCTGTATATGTTGCAAGAACCATAAGCAAAGCTGAAAGTTTCATAGTAAGGCTGAATTTTTAAGACAGCAAATAAAACAGAGTCCTTCTCAGTATGTCAGGTAATCGGAATGTCTTTGACAAAGCTTAGCATTTTTTTCAGGAAAACAAAATGGGCACTTCATGTAGTGAAAGCACAAACTCCCAATTAGTGCTGCTTGCAGCCGGATGTGGTTTGGGGAGCGGGAAAAGTGTAGGAAGTGATTCCAGGATTTTTTAGCTTTGTGTTCCACGTTGGCATAGTTTTTAAAGTGATTTTTTTGCCTATAATCTCTGTGCATTTGGGAAGTCTGTCATTATTATTTTCAGGTCTTAACTGCTTTGATTCTGAATGCTCAAGGATATTTTCTTGAAATCAAGTAACGCTTTCCTTTTTTCACCCCTTGGGATATATATGTTGTTTTCCTCTGCTCTATGAATATAAGCTTTTCTATATGTAATTTTGAGGATGCAGTCGGAGCCACAAGTGGTTCCTTCTGGAACTTCGCTTCTTCTATAGATACTCCTAGCTGTTTCTTAGTGTGGAAGTAGCAGTTTTGGAGATATTTCTCWACAGTCATTTAAAATATTTTGAATATTTTTATTTTTCGTACAATCTAGGAATGTGCAAGCTTTTGTCTAATTTTCATCTTACAGAACATTCTCAGTGCCATGAGGGACATGGTGAAGCACCGAACATCAGTCTTCATTGCCCACAGGTTGTCAACAGTAGTTGATGCAGATGAAATCATTGTCCTGGATCAGGTGAGGCTTATTTTTTCCTGTGAAATGCAGTAAAATGCAATTTTCACATAATGTCACTGTAAAGATTTGATGTACCCTTAAAACCCTCACCAAACTACTGWAACTTTTGTCTTTGGAAATGAATCATGTTTAAAAAAAAACAAATCTTGCCGACATTTTACTTTTTATATATTTCTCTTGTTTGCAGCTAATGGTTTATAAGCTGTAGAAACCTTTCAGTGATCCCTTTTTGCTGTGTGTATTATGACTTTGTGTGCATAGTACACTTAATTACATGTACTTTATATGGATTATTACAAGTTTCATTTTATGAGCTAGGGATGATTTAATGGTGTATAGTTTTAATTTGTTATATGCTCCTGTCCGTTTGGGCTCCTAATATGTTCCCTCAATTTATGCTTCGTTCTCATTATACAGTGAGTACTTCTTCCACATGCATCCACTGGGTTTTTTTCAATAGGAAGAGAGCATGGCATGCTCTGTTTCCATGTGGATAAAGCTGTTGTAGGCTGTTCAACCTAATTATGTTAGAAATCTGAGCACCATTCTCTATTATAGCTCTAGAAAATTGTAACCATTCCCCTGTGCTCTGTATACCTTAAACACACACATGCCACGTGTACACATACACATCTTTCAACATTTAACATCACTGTTCAGCACTTGCATTATATTCAGTATATTTTAAGTCTGTTTTCATATGTATCAATCATCAAAACATCAAATATGTTACCCATATTTGGTTAGAGATTTAAAATAAATGTCCTTAAAATGAGTTCATAGTTATTTTTTAACTGACAGTGCTGAAAACAGGGCAGTAACCTGATTGTAATAGTCGTTATGTCAGCTCAGTAGTCCATTATTTTAGGGTTTGGGGGTTTATTCCTCTACCTGTGACTGTAGGTGTATTTGATGACTAAAATTGCCCATATAAAAGAAAACAAGTTATTCCTGTAGTACACTAAATGATTAAATGAGAAATTAGAACAAAATCTGATGAAATGGTGGTGTTCCTGGCCAGCCTAGCTATAAATCTCATCTTCATGTGAATCTAAACATTGAGTAGTAGAATAAACTCACTCATCCTTCTCTATCGATATTTTGTTCCATTTTGTTCTGCCTATTTTTTTCTGCTTTTGCTGAAATATCATTTCTTAAGGTGTATCCTTTCTTCAAAGGCATTTAMAACATCTTGCGAACATTTTAACGTGTTATATGGCAATCTGTGGGTTTTTTTGTTGTTGTTGTTTTCGATGCAAGTTTTCACAGTTTACRCAGAGTGTTTTGTGTTTCAGAGGAGCTGTTAAAAATAAGAACACAACCTAAAACTGTAAATCAACTCGGACGCTCCTTTCCTGAAGGGTTTTGGTGTAAAGGAGGCTGGGAGCGAGCGAGGCAGCGAGGGGCAGTGCTCTGGTGCCGGCTGCTTCCCCAGCATCGCTGGCATTTGGTCTGCAGAAAGTTGCCTCCAGTCCCAACTTGATGAGTGCTGCTGTAACAGCCAGTTAAATGAGGATCAGTAATGGAAAAGAGACAAGGAAATTGTGACAGGTTTTGCTTAGCTGTGTAAGATATAGTATTGTAATTTCAGTACATTTGCGTAGGTAAAAATCAGAATAACTGAGTAAGCAAATACTTTATTAGCAATAATGATGCTGCAAAGCTGAACGGAGAAGTTAAATTTCTGGCAACTGTGGAAGTTATAAAAATAGTTTAATTCATAAACCTGGTCTCCACTGCAGTGAACTCTCTAAACTCTATAAAAACACTTAGTGTTTTTAAATAAGTTCCACAGTTATGTTGGCCAGCTACATATTTGTTAAGTTTCCACCAGCACGACTACTAATAAAAATGACAAGACCCAATTTTATTTCCCAGCATGTTCATCAGCAGCTGTCACAAGGAGGTAGATTTAATTGTAGATTAGAATTTGGAACTAATATAAAATCCATGTAGTTGTCTATATAACGCTCTCTTTTCCCAAGAGAAAGAGTAGGTAGAGAAGGGACAAATTATTTGAAGTTGGTGGATGTAAATGGCCCTCTCATGTAAAAGACTGGAGTCTCTGTTCTGCAGAATAGTGGTGCTTGGCTCTCTGCAGGGTCTGGGCTCTCCCCTCCTCCTCCTCTTTCCCCTTCCCACAGTACGATAGTCAATAAATCAGCTTTGCTCTTTCACAACAGAGGGCACAGATGAACTGAGCTGCTCGCTCTGTTTTCATGATGGCACTTCTAATGCCAGAAGCAACTGTGGCCCCTTTCTGCAAACACAACTTGCATTAATTGCTTTTAGAATCCGATTTTAAATGTTTTTGGCTTAACTGCTATAAATCACTTGTGTTTGCTCTTCTCTTTCAGCTTCTTCCAGCCTAGCTTAAGTATGTCTCTTAGCAAGCAGGGATAGATATACGTTTGTCTTGGTACATCCATGTGTCTTTCTCACTAGTAGTTTAACATCTTGCTGTAGAACAATTTCTACCTTTAGTTTGAAGAGCACTTGCAGTTTGAATGGTAAAACTTTTCATATTTGTAGCCTTTAATTTTGTTCAGGTTGAGAAAAGGAGTCTATACTCCTGTTTACACAAATTTAAGAATACAGCTCCCTGTTTCCCTTGTGCAGCATGACCCAAATGCAATTTTCCACATGTTCAGTCTTCTTTTGCTGCCTCAGCCTTCTCCTAATCCAGAATTGCCGTGAGCCGGTTGTTGGCAGTGCTAGGATTGCTGAAGATCTGGTAATATTGATTGCTGACTTCTTCTTTTGCAGGGCAAAGTTGTTGAACGTGGTAGACATGCAGACCTCCTGGCCAGCCCCAGCAATCTCTATTCCGAGATGTGGCATACACAGAGCAGCAAAATGCAGAGTAGTGGCATCAGCCAGAAGTGGGAGGAGAGAAACAATCAGATGTCCAAAGAGGAGGAGAGGAAGAAACTGCAAGAAGAAATTATCAATAGTGTGAAAGGCTGTGGAAACTGTTCTTGCTAAGTATGATCCTGGATTAATCTTCTGTAACAGGTTAAATATGCACAGTGTTGCAGTGAAGCACAGCTCTTGGTTTTAACTCATCATTCAAAAACTTCCTGGGTTTTGCAGTTTTTCTTTTCATTTTTTTTAACTGTTTCTCAAAGAAATGTAACTTCAACCAAAGAAGTCTTATTTCTACATCTTTACAAATCCCTGATATTTAATGGCATTGCAAGAGCTGAGCTTTCTCAAAAAAAAAATTCAAAATTCCTTCTGACAGTATATTTTATGGCAGTTTTTAGGTAACGATAAATTCTCCTGGTAGTTACTTGGGATGGATCATTAAATTGTAAACAGATTTGTGCTCAATTTACATTATTTATCATCTTTAATGGCTGATAAGGAAGTTGTGTTTGAATTGTAGTTGGGCTAATTTGAAATCATTTGCTAGCGAGGAAGATGCAATTTAAAGTTTTCAGAGGTGCTCTGGTCTGAAAAGTTCTTCCTTGTGAAACTTGACAGGAGCCCCAGCAAAATATTAGAGGCCCCATGTAGCAAACTAAATATTGAAATAATCCATCTCACTGCTCCAGAGCACCTTTCATATTGGACTATCCAGGAAGTGTATTAGTGTTCTTTTAAACAAGAGCTATAAGTTCTAAGAGCTGACAAAAATCTGAAATTGAAAAGATACAGTGTGACTTTACAGAAACTATACAAAATGTGCAAATATTAAGAACGGGAAGCTTTCTCTTAAATGGAAAAAAAAAAATCAAAGTTCAAATTCTGTATCTTCAACATCAGCATCAAAGTAGAAGTCAAAGCAGAATGCACTCGCCTTGATTTTGGGCATGATCTTAGGGAGAAATTAAGAGTCAGTGAGGACTGCCCTAAGTTTTTGTCATCAATCTATGAACCTGGGAATGAGAGATGGACATGGATGATGTTGCTCCAGCGATCTCACAACTTCAGTATTGTTTCAGTCTCAAGAAACCTCAATTTTGGTGACTTGCAGGACACCACAGGATTGTACAATCAGACCTGACATCTCCAGGGAGATTTCCTGTGTCTGTTTATCAGGAGCTATGCTGGTATAATTCCTCATTTGAGAGAGGGAAATAAATTTTAATAGGAAAAAGTGTATCTTTGTCTTGATGTGAAAAAATAACTTTTTTTTCTGGGGAATTATCACAGTATAATTACACTGATGAAGTTAGATTTGTAAATCAGGTGCAAGATGTCTCTGTGTGGGCACTAGCAAAGCAAAGTACTGGATTTGGTGCTGCCAATACTGCTGCACGTAGTGGCATTTTTGTTTGTTGCAGCTTTTCTCCACAGCTGAATATAGCAACAGTAACTTAAAGGGAGTTAAACCTTCATCTTTTCTGCTAGTCATTCATTTTCTCACTATTAAAATGATGCAAAAAAAAAAATATTATTAATCCTCAGGTAAAAAAAAAAAACCTTTAACAATAACATCAAATGCAAGGAATTCTGCTTTCATCCTTGGAGCGCAGAAGCAAAGTAAAGCCTTGTTAACATAGTGACAGTCCAGAATTATTTTAATTTGCCATGTCCTTTTTATTTTAACCAAGTGTCTCCGTTTTTAATTTGTAATAGTGGTGTGGTAGATTATAAAGGTGCAGTTATCTCTGAACTGCCAGAACCAGTTAGCAAGAGTTAAGGCTTCTCCCTTTCTTATATCGTGCCTAGCAAAAACCAAACGTCCCTTCTCCCACAAGAGCTAGTTTGGGAATTAAATGATTTGTCTCCTGTTGTGTGCAGCAGGTAGTGTACAAAGGCTGTAAATAGYAGTATTTCAATCCTGACCACCCTTTTCCTTCTGCACAAGTTGTAGATGTCACTAGTCTGAAAGGTGGAAGAGAAGGTGGGTTGGGGTTTTGGTTGCTTTTTTTCCCCTTTTTCCCCTCCATGAGCAKTTGCCAACATTACAAGGCTTTGAAAACCCAGTGATTACCTCGAGAGAAGGAAAAGTAGCCTTAAGGGCTTTTTAAGAATCCCCAAACCACAAGCTATTTTAATGCCAAAGTTGTGTTTGTGGAGGGTAGGAGGGATGCAGATGAATAAGTGGTTATCCAAAGCTGATGTTTTTAATCACTGAGGACAGGTTTTGCAAGTGCTCGAGAAGGTGTGGGAGAAGGGAGCGTTTGAAATGGTGAGGATCAGTAATGATCAAAATTTGCTTACATCTGCCAAGGGTTTGACAGGGCTGCAAGGTTGGTGTTCGTCTTTGCAATCTTTTTCTTTTTTTTCTTTTAAAGCCAATCCATACTCTGCAACTTTGTCCAGCTTTAAGCAAACAGGGTAATGGGAAGCAACTCTTAAAGGCGTTTTCTGAAGAGAAGGCTTGTGATACAGGAGAGGATTTATTTTAAAGGATGGATGGCAGTGACTTCCGAGAGATGACTGAGAATTTCCTGTTCCGTAGAGTTGCTAGATAAACATTCCTGACTTGTTTGTGGATTTATATGAATGTTCCCGTGGGTGCCTGTCTGTTCTTTAGGTCCAATACAAGGGAGAGGAGATTACTCATTACTGATTGTAGCAAAAAGKTTTTTTTGCTTTCTTCTCATCCTCCCCGCTCCCCCCTCACCTTCCCAAATTAAATGGGAAAAGCTTCCTCGAAAAATGCAGAAAGTTGTTGCACAGCTGAAGAGTTGCAGATGAGCAGGATTTTGTGCTGCCACAGCCTCCCACTATTCTGTCAGAGATGCAAGAATAAAATAGGGTTATGTTTTGCTTGTAGAAGCAATACTTGGTGATTCTTTTGCTTACAAGAAGATAAAACTTTTCCCCTRGCTTTTTTATTTTTAGTTCATATGCCAAGACTCCAAAAATCACCATGTTAAGCAGACATTTATGATACTTGTTGACTATGAGAGTCATGWTTTGGAGATTTGAATAAGATGCGTAGTGTACTGAGTCCTGAGACGATCTATACAGCATCTCTTTAGAAAGCCTTACAGTTTGAAATAGAAAATCTGATGGCCTCTATGGATCTTGGTAATTCTGCTCTTCTGTAGTCTGGGACATCACTCTTCAGAACATCAGCTTTTCATGTTCTTGGAACTTTGGTGGACTTGTAGCAGGTTGAAAATCAAAGTCATCTAAGATCATCRTAAGAACAGTGTTTGCTGTTTTGGAGACAACCCCCCTTTTTTTTTTCTTTCCCATTCTCCCTCTTATTAAAGGCAATGTGCAAGTCTGAAAAGTGAGCAGAGAAATGATTGGTTCTTGCAGTTCGTATTCATCTCTTGACTCTAAACCTACAGAATTTAATTTTAATTTCCATGCAAGAACTTGCTGGGCACAGAATGTGAAGACACGAACTGTGCTTCCCTGGCTGTTCTCACCTCCAAGTTAGCAGACTTGTGGTTTGAGGGTATCGGTTGGTTGGTTTGGGTTTTCAAAAGTGGAGATTCATACCTTGCTCCTTGCAGATGACCTCTCAGTTTACTCTCAGCAGAGCTGTTACATGGATTACTAGTTGCATACATCTCTTAATTCGGATTTTAAATTATGTTCAAGTTTCTTTTGAAGATGGAAATGTAAAATATACATTGTACAGYAAGATGGTAGATGTTCAGCAGCAACAAAAAAGGCTAGTTTAAAACCACATTGTATAAACATCTGCTGGAAGACTTCTTACCCTGACTCTTGTTCATCTGTGTATAGCTAATTATTACTAAATAAAGGATTTATCTTTGTGAATAGACATGGGTGTCCTGTTAAAATGACTCCTCCAGCTTTGCAGCAATTTCCAGGGGAAACAGATATTTTGTCAGTCACTCGTATGGAACAAGAATAGCGATGATTTTAATAACAGCTATGGGAGTATGGCTCTTCCACCCAGAAAGGGAAGCTTTGAATTGGCTTTTTTAGTAAAAGTAATTGTTTGCAGTGCTTGATAATGACAGTGAAGCTGATAGCAAATTATAGGGCTGTGGGTTAGCATTAGGCAACCAAACTCCAGATGATCAGTCAGAGAAAGGTAAGTTCATGCAGCACACCCAAATTCTGTTCCCCCTCAGCTTTTATATGCCCTTAATTTTCAACGTATCAAGCTGCAAAAACATGTGAAGAGCACTCACATTAGGCACATTGTGCAGATGAGAATGAAAATTGTTGTTAAAAGCTTGACTGTTGCTTATTTTAAAATACTGCATCACATCTTTATGAGAGTAGACTGTTTTACCTCCTCATCATTGAACTGGTGAACGGCAGCAGCAGAGCTGTCTGCAGAAGTCGCTTGAGCCCTGCTTTTGAACTAACACTAATTAGTGATGGATTTTTTTTTCCTTCTGCTAAAATGCTAGTTTTTCAGTAGCTGATGAGAAAACAGGGAATATTTTTTACTTAGTGGCACCTGGTTTTGGTAGCGCCTTCGTGTTGATGTGAGGTGCTTAGGCACCCGTCAGGCTGTCCTGTTTGRAGCAGTTGTCGCTGAGCCCTGTGGTCCCCAAGTGCCCTGCGATGCCGGGAGCGACTGAACGTGAGATCTTGGAGCAGATTGGGGTTTTCTGTCTGCGTGTTTGTTGTTCCCCAAGTCTGATTACAGGAACTTCCAGCTGTTCTTTCTAAAGATTCATTTGCTATATCTTTAAATCTTTTAATGATATTGTGCAGGGATATTCCATGAATGCTGAGTGACAAAAAATCCCCTCATTAATTTTTGAGGGGAAAGAACTATAATGGGAGTGTTTTTTCTCCATGTATACATATAGCTTCTATTAATGCTAATTTGAGTTGCATGTGTGCATCAAGGAAAACAGTAATTACAAATCCAGCACTTTATAATCGTCACATAAATTAGGAATCATTTTGAGGTTACCATGCTCATTTAACAACCCATCTGTGTTCAAACAATAGTTGCAGAAGTGACAATTTAGTATTCTATCGATCATGTACTGTTTTCCAGTGAGGAATTTTCTGTGACATTTATCTTGGTCATGTAGCATCTAAACGCTCTTTGCTACCTTCAGCCCTGATCCCTGCTGGAAATTACAGCTTTGGTCTGCCCGCAGGATAAGAGCTTTGATGGCAAGTGGATGTTTTCTTATCCGCATGTTGATGAATTTGTCATTTTTCTCCAAGGAGCTGGGGAATTTTCTTTCTTTAAAGAAAAAGTTGCAAAGGGATTGAGCAGTACTGTGATGTATAGTTGTCCTTTCTGAAATGGTGATGTCATTGATGAAATGGTGATGGAGGCAAGTTAGAGATATCTAAGGACCTTACAGAGCTGAATTTCCTAGACTTCAGGATCCTGAACTCCTGGAGCTGCCTTGCTGTAAGTCTCCTACAGTATAATCTTGACCTCAGATAACTTCGAGTTTTATTCCAGCATCTCTTTCTAAAATGAGAAGTGCCAGTTGTACAAGTGGCACAGCATATTTATTATTTGGAAATAAAAAGGGGGAAAATGCATTTTTACTTATGACTTAGGGCAGAATTTAAAATAGCATTCCTAAAGATGAAAGACTAATGTGACATCTCGGCTCCCCACACATTTCACTTCCAGTTCTCAGTGCTTTGTAGCCCTTTATAAAATTGTCAAGTAAAGCATTTATGTAAGACAAAATGTGCCTTGTAAAGCTATCAACTTTATTCAAGACAGGGGAGGGGGAAAAGAAGAGAGAAATTTTCCCTTCTGTTAGAGATGAAGAACCAGGCTTAAACACTGTATATTGACCTGTGTTGTGTCATCTTGACTGTGCTGTGAAGTGCTCTGCATATGAAATCGGGGCACTTTAGAGGCCAGTGACACCAATAAATATTTAAAAAGGTGGAATGTGAAAAGAGGAGAAATTTTCATTTTAAGCCTGTTAGACGAAGTGGAATGTGAACATCAAGCTGGTCCCTTCATGGGAATGAAGGTTTTGGGCACTGCTGGTGCATGATTTGTGAAATGGCCTGGGTGCGTTTTCACACAACGGTGAAAACTTTTTTGAAAAAGTTTCTGGTTTTTGGAGAAGATCGAACTTACAACAACAAAACAGGGAAAGCTTTCTGGTAAAATGAGAATTTACAGAACTTGTGAAAGCTAATAACTATCATGGCTTGATGATGCTGTTAATTGTTGGGTGAGTCAAGAAACTGAAGGCATTTGGCAAGATATGAGGGAGGGAGAAGAGCTTCTTAAGAAGCCTGTGCTGGGGATGGTGCTGGTRATAGGATCTGGATGTTTGGATCTAGGATTGTAGATCTTGCTGGCACCAGCATGAGTTTTATGGCAGTTCTCCAGCCTCTGCTGGGAGGAAGCTCTAAGGAAGAGCTTATTCAAATATTCACAAGTTCAGCAAAACTACTAAAATGTAGTAATGTAAAATATTATTACTTAAATGGGGAAGCTGCTCTATCATAAAGTAGATGGATGTGTGGTCTGTGTGGGCACCTCTCCCACAGGTTGTATAGTCGGTGTCGCAAACATCTATAGCAGGAACAGGGAAATTTTGGCAGACTTGGCTCTGTAAYGAGTTGATCCAGACTTACGCGCTTGTGCAAGTGCACATGTAGATCTGGGAACTGTTTAGAGTGGAGACTGGGAGGAATTTGAAAAGATTGGTAACCTGAAAATTGTCACAGAACAGCTGAAGTTTATCTTTGAGTTTGGAGGGACTTGATTGACGTTCAGATGTGAGATGTGTGTCCACCACAGAATGGCTACAGCAGATGTTACTGGACACGTCACTTGCCTCTGCAAACAGTGTCCATGGCAAAAATAGGCGAATGACTTAATAAATCTGATTAATGATTAATTGTGCAATACAGTAACTTTTAATATACAATATTTTAAAGCATTTAAATATAAATGGTGAAGGAAAAGAAATTCAGAGAGGAGATATGGAGGCCAGGAGGGAGCCCTTCAGCCCGTCATGCAAAGAAGAGCTCCGTATGTTTGCGGTCTCAAGAGTACAGGTGAGGTTTTGCAGTATTCCTTTAGCCTTGAATCTTACCACTTTGAGCAAAGAGAAATCACTTGTATTGGGCACGATAATCTCGGCTGCTTCCTAGGGTTGTTCTCATGGCTGCTGTCTGCATTCCTCCTTTAATGCATCCCTCCTTTCCACCTCGCTCGGCTCCGCTGCCTCTTCTCCCTTGCTTGTCTCCATAGCCAGACTGTAATTCTGCTCTGGACCCTCTCCCTCAAAGCCCTCCTGTCTGCCAGCCCACACGAGCACTGCCAGCTTCCCTTTCAGGGCTGCTGCTTTCCTTTCCCTCGCCCGCCGTGGCAGAGCGCTGCCCGGGAAAGGACTTTGCTGCGAGCGACCTCGGCGGGATGGGCCTGGGCACAAAGCAGCTCCTTGTGCCGGGTTTGCGCCTCCCGTGTAGCAGCTGTCCTGCGGGGACAGCTTTGCTTTATGCAGTGCTGCGCAGTGAGCACCGCCACAGCATCTGCTTCTTCCCATTTGGCCAGGTAAGTAGCCTGAAATATGAGGCAGCTAACAACAGCAGCCTGCTCCGTGCTGTCTTTTGTCCCCAGTTTTATGCATTATTCGGGCTGTGCAGGCACCTGGTTTTCAATAGGGGCTCTGTCTGTGATCGTGTTACGCAGTAGCGCTTGCAGAGCGGCCAGAGATAGTCTTGCAGAAAGTGATACATGCAAACGATTCGTGCAGCGTGGAAAGAACCATTTTGAATGGCATGTTCCCTCAAAAACAGTGTTTGCTAGAACCCCGTATCTCTGCTCAGAGCTGCTGCAAAGAGCATGTCTTTTGTCATGTGTGCCTCGGTGTCGGCTCTCTGTAGTACATGGTCTTTTGTAGTATATAGTCTCCTTAGCCTTTCCTATCAATCCTGTGGGATTTTTGATGCTGGGAATTTTCAGCTGACCACAGAAAGCTTCCTTCACCAGATGTGCAACTTTTCCTACAGTCTCAGCGTGGAGAAGATTTTAGCTGCCTCTGAATATACAAATTGAAAGACGGGCTACAGTTAATCAGAGGAGGAATGACTGGAGGTGGACTGCAATTTTGAAAATATTGCCTCATAAATAAAATTTCATAGCAAGTCAAATGAATGTAACACTAATGGCAGCAGTGGGGAAATACGAAAGACGACTTCAACTCCAGAAACTGGCAAAAACTGCTTTCTGAAGAACTATATCTTGTGGATTTTGTTTTTAATTTAAGGAGCAAAATTTTCTAGCAGTGGATTTGGCCTACTAGAAAGCAGCCAATTTCTAACAAGTAAGTGCCCAAATCATCTTAACAGGCATTTAAGAAATCCTTCAAATGGTTAAGTTTGTTAGTCACAGCTATCAAAGTCTCAGCAGAAACTTATTCTGGAAATAGAAGGTCATCCCTGTGATTTAGACCAGCATTTGCTTTCCTGACATTTGAGAGGTTCTCTGCTGAT